TGCCCAAGAGCACAAAGAGACTTCACAACAAAACATATAGAACTATTTGACTGGATTCGAAAAAGAGGTCGGGTTAACGCTAAAAACTCTCATGGACCGGATTTTGCATCTGCGAATTGCTGCTGAATCGTAGCAAAATCGTTCGCCTTGTCGAAACACGGTGAGCCGGAGCAAACGATTATCAAGCCAGGATTGATGGTCAGGAAAATTTTGCTGTGTGTTTGGTGGGAACGGCAGGGAATTATCTACTATAAGCCGCTCCCTAATCGCAAAACTCTTAACTCGGAACTGTATTGTCAACAATTGGACCGTCTAAAGGAAGCAATCGCCCAGAAGCGGCCAGCTTTGGCCAATAGGAGAAGAATTGTGTTCCATCAGAACAACGCCAGGCCACACACATCGATAGTGACTCAGCAGAAGCTGCGGAATCTTGGTTGGTTGTTCACAATTATGCTGGTGAAAAATTCACTTCAAGAGAGGCTTGTGATAGTTGACTATCTGAATTTTTTTGACAAAAGGAACTAGGGCTTCTATGAGAGAATCATAATGAAATCACATTGAAAAAGGGAATAAATTATCGAACAAAACGGCGCATATTTAACATAAATCGGATTATTCTAACCATGTAATTAAAGCCTTCAATTTCATGTAAAGAAAAGGATTTCTTTCTACTACCCATGTGATTTAAAATTTTAGGATTTTTTAAACTTTGGCATACCCGAAGGTAGTTTTCCAAAAGCCGCTGTCTTCCTCCTGCATTGTAGCTCATATTGAAGAAAAAGATGAGGAAATATTCTCTGCTTGTGGTCTCTCTATATCTAGTTATCTTTTTATTTGAAAATGTTTTATTCTTCCGATAATTTCTGAGAGCGTTTTGAATTTTTTTTCCAAACTACTAAAGCAACGGCCAATTTCACTAATATTTTTTTCAACCTGGAACATGCTCCATATTAAGCGCCTCTCTTCTTCACTGGAGCTCTTGCAAATGTCTTATTTCAAATATTGCACTTTAATGTCCATTAAAAATTACATTCGCAGTAAATCCTTGCCTTACCCCTTAGCGGTCATCGGGGATAATTACTTACTTTCGGACGAGTAATAAGTGTATCAATCAACCGGATCAAACTGAGACAAGGATGTCTGATTATTAAGAATAGGCTAATACGGACTCAGAGCAATATATGTCCCTTGAGTATGAAGGGGCTTCAACCTCTGGTAAACGGAAAGCAGCAGAAGATCTATATGAATCTTCTTCAAAATCTTCTCAACATGGTCGTCCTGCAACCAAAATGTACGGTAAAATAAAATTTGCAGATTCCTTACGGGATGTTTGATCGAGCAACAGTAAATGCACGTGTTCTGAGGAAGCGCAAAGTTAGTGACACTGTGCGATCTACTGCTGCGATCACTGTTCTGAAAAGACTAGTTGAGCATCTCACTGTTACCATGTTACGAGAGAGATTGAACCAGCCGTGTCTGAGTAAAGTGCTGCGAATTGCTATCGAAAGCCTGCTCAAAATTGAGAATGAACCAGGCCTAGACCACCTGCAAAAACTTACATTAGATCTGTTTCGAAGATGCAGTTAATGTTCCAGGAAGAAAGGCACGCGAACGCGTATCGGAAGTACGGCTTGTGAGAGGCCTGTCTGTGACGATCATCGATTAACCCTATGTACGGACTGCGCTGGTACTTGAATTATTTACATTAATTTTTTCCCTGATCTAAATATACTCTATTTGATATTTTTCTACCGAATGTATATTTAGATGCCCTGAAATATTAGCCCTAAATATTGAAAAATGGCGGAGTTACGATTTTTTTCATGAAAAAATACCTTTTTTGGGAAGTTTCACCTATCTTAGCGGTTCTCACAGCTACAGCTAAGAATTAAGTTAGATTGTCAGAAAATTTGAAAAACAGTTTAATAATGATCGGACGCTCAAAAAAAATACTAAAATATCTATGGAAATTGCATAATTTTTCCACGTGGGGTAAATTATTCCCCTGTCTGGCCGCTATGTGGCGAAACTGAGTTGTGGCCGTTAAGGGTTAAACGCAAATGATAAAACTATGCGGATGTCAGGGAGAGCTAGTTAGAATGACAGTTTAAATCAAAAGCCTTTTGTAATATAGGGATACTGCTTTGAAATCGACCAAAAAATTTTTAGAAATGCGTGATTTCTAACGGCAAAAAAAAAAATTATTAATACACTACGTCGTAGAAAATAAAAATTTTCCAAATAGCATTATATTCAATTTTCAATCAGTATTATAGGAATATAATAGGGTGTGCTAATTAGTGTGCCTCCCCTGCATACTTGTATATGTACATATTTCCATAATCATGTTCTTCCTGCTCCACAGTCTCAGCAACAATAATTAACATTTTTATGGCAAATATTTTTTAAAACAACGATTAACACTGTAAAAGCAATCAAATTTGTTTATAACCAATTATACTTGTACACATACATATTTATGTATGTATGTGTATAGACCGCGTGAGTAGGCAGTGAGTCAAATTTCAATTTTACACCTGCGCTTCTTTGGCAATCTTCAGTCGCATTCGCTGATAACAAGTTTTTTTGAATACCGAGCTATAATGCAAAAACTATTTGAAGGTGGAGAAGTCATTAATATTATTATAAATTCATAAACACTAAAAACCAAAGCCTATAATCCCATAATGTGCATATTTATATTTCATATCATTTCGGCGATTTTTCATTGATCAAGTCATTATGTCAAAAAACAAATATCGTTTGCCTTTTTGGTACCTACATATATGTATATACTCGTAGATAAATCGTTACAAGTAATAAACGCTTTATACCCAATGCTTGGTTACATGCGCGGCCTACTTTCTGAGCTTCATTTGCGATCGCTTTCAAAACAATTTTCCAATTTCTTATGAATGTAGTTGCCCTAAAAGAAACTGGCGAATTTTCATACAAAACAGCTAGTGACTATGGAGCAGCGCAGGTCGCTAAAAATTTGCATATTTTGTATGCTGATAAGATCTTAAAAGAAGCGCACTGTCGATGCTGGTTTGTCAAATTCCGTTCGGGAGATTTTTCACTCGAAGATAAGCCACGTTGAGGTCGGCCAAGAGAAGTGGACGATGGCGATATGAAGACTTTAATCGAATCGGATCGTCATGTAACTGAGCGTGAGTGAGGAGCGAAGTTAAGTATACCAAAAATCAACTATTCATAATCATACACGAGATCTTGGACAGATAAAATACTTTATAAAATAACTTGAATTGAAAGAAATTCATTTAACAAGCCGCTTCGACGCTTGTGATATGCACCTTAAACGCAATGAATTTGATCCGTTTTTAAAACGAATCATAACTGGAGATGAAAAACGGATTGTTTACAACAACGTTAGTCGAAAACGATCCTGGTCCTGAAGTGCCACAAACCACTTCAAAGGCTGATATTCACCAAAAGGAGACTATGCTGTCAATTTGGTGAGATTGGAAGGGTGTGGTGCATTTTAAGCTGCTTCCAAGGGATCAAACGATTAATTCGGATGTCCACTGTTAACAACTGAACAAATTGAAAAATCCATCAACGACAAGCGGCCAGTATTGTTCAATAGTAAAGGTGTCATATTCCACCATGACAACGCTAGACCGCACACATCTTTAGTCACTCGCCAAAAACTGAGAGAGCTTGGCTGGGAACTGTTGTTACATACAACATATTGCCCTTACCTTGCACCATCAGACTACCATTTGTTTCGATCTTTGCAGAGCTCATTAAATGGTAAAACTTTCGAAAATTACGAGGCTGAAAAATCGCGGTGTGTTCAGTTTTTTGCAAATGTATAAAGGCCCGAAGTTCTATGAGCGCGCGGAATGATGATGTTGTCGGAACTGGTAATTTAACACGTCGATGTCTTACGAGCTGACAATCCATCAGCTTCATACTAGTTTAGTACTAGTTCATTTAGCCATGTTGAATTTCTACTAAAAAAAAAACTTTATCTAGTAAAATTCAGTTTGCCGGCTGCGAGAATCGAACCGAGACCCCCACGCATCACAAGGAAGACCTCTACCCACCAGACTATCGTTATAATATATGAAAGAATGAAATCTGCGCACTTCAACAGAACTTTTTAGGTTCCACGCATCACAAGGAAGATCTCTACCCACCAGACTATCGTTATAATATATGAAAGAATGAAATCTGCGCACTTCAACAGAACTTTTTAGGTATGATTTCGCCTTCAACATACTAGTATTTAACTAGAATTTTCGCATACTAGTTGGTTTTCCCCTTCAGGGTAGTTACTGCTTAAATTGGTGGCTGCAATAGCCGAGTGGTTAGCTTACTGATAATCGGAAGGTGTGGGTTCGAGTCCTGGTCCGGCCAACATCAAAAATAATAGAAAACTAATTTTTTCGACTAAATTTCTGACATGAAAGTCCATCGGCTTCGGAATCGGCCTAGTACCAAACTGTAGTTCCCTCCATTTTTGAGAAAAACATCAAAACGCAAAACCACAAATTGGAGAAGGTACTCGGCCGGAAATCGTTTCATGAAGAAACCTTTAATTTTGGAAGTCGTATAAAATTTTTATCTCAATAGTGCATTGGGTATAAATTGCCATCATAAATGATATACAAACAACACGAAATCTGGTCTCCCGCTGTCGCCTTGCGCATTCAGTTACATGCTACACACTCATAAATTTGTATTTTATTTTATTTTGATCTGAAATTATAATAGTAATGGGCCTTTTGCCGCATTGTAACTTAAAATTAAATTTTTGCATTAATTAAAAAATTCAAAATTTTTGATACTATTGTGTGCATCTTGACAAGGAAGGCTGAAAAGCCGCCGAAATAAAGCATATTTTTGAAAATGATTTGCATTCACAGCAGAAGAAAAACAATAGTATTGAGATGACAGCAATAAAAATATTAATTTTGAGTGAAAATTATTGCCAGCTCAAGCCTAAAATGACACCAGATATTTTGGTGGCATCAAACTGGCTTCCAAACTAAATGCATTTGAACAATATCTATATAAGACCTGCTTGTTTGAGTTCGGAATCATTCTAATCGAACAGTCCCAGTGTGCATCAAGTGTTGGTGAAATGCGTGCATTTATCATTTTGTCTTTAGCTGCAGTGGTTTACGCCGATGTCGGCTACAACTACAACGCAGGCAGTGGAGGTTTGGGCAGCCTTGGAGCACATGCTGGCTCCAATGGATTGAGTGGCAATGGTGCATTGCAAGGTTTAGGAGGTGCCGGTCGCCTAGGAGGCATTGCTGGTTCCCATGGTGTGGGCGGTGGCTCCAGCGCGCCCGCTTCCAGTGGTCCTGCTGCTCCAGCTACCTACGACAAAGAGTTTTACACTTTCACCGCGCCCGAAAATGAATTCGAAAATGATAATGATGGAAAACAAATCACCAGTATTAAGAAGAATTTACGTGTAATTTTCATTAAATCGCCAGAAAATAAGGGTTTGGAAAATGCTGCACTGCAGTTGGCGAAACAGGCTGCTGACGATAAGACTGCTATTTATGTATTACAGAAGCAGACTGACATCGGCAGTTTGGCACAACAGCTGCAGACCGCCAGGTCGCAACAAAGTAACAAACCCGAAGTTCACTTTGTCAAGTATCGTACTCCAGAGGATGCGGCTAATGCTCAGAAAGCTATTCAATCACAATACAATCAGTTGGCTGGCAACTCCCAAGCTCATAATGGTGGAGTGGCACCAGTGTTGAATTTTGCCTCTCGCGCTCCTGCGGCCCCAGGTGCAGCTCCTAAGACTCCGGCTAATGCTTATCTGCCTTCATCGGTTTTACGGCTATTCCGTGCGTGAAAATTTCCTGGAAACAGATTTTAGTTAATTCTTAACTCAAATGAGTTTGACTTCTGTAATTGTTGATTCTTTTTTAATAATTGTTTTCTATGATATTTTAGGAATTATAGTCAAATGCAAAAAAGAAAAAAAAATTGAAACTATTTTTTTTGCTTAAATTCAATATATTTATGATTTAGACGTCGATTTTGACTTCTTAGCTGGTTTGCGTTGACGCCGATGAACAATAAGCTGTGAAATTGAAGGGTTTGAAGAGGCAAGTACAATGGTCAATCTCGAAAAAGGCAATCAAAATAATTCAGAGGACGTGGAACTAAATCAATTGAAAAATTATTATAATTCACACAAAATACATTACTTTTTCTCAAGGTAATTTTCATTGGTTAAAAGGGTCGAAGAAGAGCCAATTATTGTCGGTGTATGCCCTCGATGGCAAGAATATGCGAGAATGTTTGAAGATGTTTCGATTGATAAAGATTCAAATATTTTTAAAAATTCATTGTGACGAACTCCATTATATTCAGATTGGGTTAAGTTTCGATGCGATGATTATTTAAACACCGACACAGCTTTAAATTCGTTATTTCAATTATTTTCATTATTAATGTCAGATGATATTATCCAAACATTCTCGTACAAAACAACCCCTGTGCTGTGCAGAAGAACCTTAAGAACAGAAACTGAATACCACATCGGACTAAATTAAACGATTAATGGGAGTCAATTACTACAAGTCGTTTTATAAATATCCGGGCACTCGACCATACTGGGGTGACTTTAGTTTTAAGACAATTATGGATTGTATGCCTTGGAATCGTCACGACAAACTTCGCCAATTCTTACACTTCAATAATAGCGAAATTGTGTTACGCCGGCATCGCATTCGAGAGCCGACATCATTTTTTCAGCAGCCATGATTACCGTCAGAAAAATTAGCCCAATTAGGGCTCATCTGCGAATGTTTTTGTTTTAATTGGCTCGTTTGGTCACTCGATTTGTAAATCATCAAGTAAGTCCAGATGCAAGAACACGAAATGTACATGCCGCACAAAGGTCAGAAGTGTAAAATAAATTTGAGTGGTTTCGACTGAAAAAAACTTTTTTCGCTGAATTTCATCAATCTTCAATGCCTTTACTAAAAACTTTACACTTCACAGTTGCAACTTTTAAATAAAAAAAAATAAAAAATAATAATAATTTATAAGACTGTGTACCTAGCGGTTCCTCTGGAAACCAAAAACCTATTAAAGATTAACAAAAAGATATAAATACCAGGTCTACAAATATGAAATGAACGTTTTTTTTCAATAAAAGATTAATTTTAAATGGATTACTAAAGAAATTTTATGACTTTCTATACATTTTAACTACCTATCTGACAACTTGTGGACACCACGCCAGTAAAACTGTTCGTCCTTTGAAGAAAACCAATCAGATACCCAATTTTCGACTTCGAAGTGCTGAAGCAGCCAATGCGTGTCCCATCGAGGAAAACAAACGTGCCAAGTCTGACCACGTTTTGCCTTATGTGCCGATGCATTGTGGTGTAGTAAGATTATTTGTCCGTGTCTTCTGACCCATTCTGGACGTTTTTGATACTGCGTTCTTCAAGATGATTATTTGTTGCTTGTAGCGACTCAAAGTTACCCCTAATTCGGCGTCTTCATTTCTCACTTCGAAATCATAATTTTTGAACCGTATAAACCATCTTTTGCATGCTGCTTTCGATAGAGCATTATCACCAAAGGCCTGGTGAAGCAATCAATGGGAATCTGCAGCACTTTTCGTTAAATAATAACAAAAAATTAAAGCTTTTCGCGTATCAACACTTTCTGACATTTTTGGATAAATAAAAAAATGTATCCTGTTTGATCAATAGTTTAATGTATACGAATTACGTTAGACACATGTCACACCATCCTAAATCAAAAAAGAAATGAGGCTCTATCATAATAAATGTGGAAATTAGAAGCAATTGTACCCCAATGCTCATTTCATATTTGTAGACCTTAAAGTATATTTTATATATAAAGTGTGACTCACTCTAACCGAATGTGTGCAATACCGATATAATAAAGCGGAGAGAAATTCCTCCCAACATGCCAAATTCGCTACACACAGCTAATCACAAAAATTGCCTATGCTTTAATATCCAGAGGCGCATTATTTCGTAAGCAATGTTAGAGCGTAGCTCTTTTGTCAGAATTAGTAACTGACAACTTTCCTAATGCTCAATTAAAATTTCCGGAATAAACGATTTCAAATATATTTTCCTTAGAGATGATCTACTAACGAAACGGTGTCATATCGTTTTCTTTACACAAAAAAAAAAAACTAACGATTATGTTGAAACGAAATGGAACTGTTAATGTTCAAGCCGCTGAAACTGGTTAAAGGTAATTTGAAAATAGTTGCTTGCTTTGATATAAACGTTTAACATTATCTGTTATCGATTTTACATTATCTGTTATGGATTTAACATTATCTGTTAACGATTTTACATTATCTGTTAACGATATAACATTATCTGTTAATGATTTTACATTATCTGTTAACGATTTTACATTTTCTGTTATGGATTTAACATTAAGGTCAGCATTTCGTTTCGGGTTAAAAGCGAAATAAAATTTATTTTCATAACTGCTTGATCGTTAAAAACTTTTTGATTAGCCTGAAATATATCGTTGCGATGTACCCTCGATTTTACTCAAAAGTAGTTCACTACAGGAGTTGGGAGTTACTATTGGAAGTTAGGAGCTACGATTATGATATTTAAATAAAGTCTAGTAAGAAATATTGGGGTAACAGTGACCCACAATAAATCAAGCAAAGGATCTCAAGAAAGTGAGCTCTTGTAATCGGTGAATGAATATATTTTATTTGTTAATGTCGTTGTTGATGTTGTAGACATCAAAACGATTATAAAGTTCAATAACCTGACGAATTTTTAATTGATAGTTTTTATCGTGTATTCTTAAGCATTTTACGAATGTCGAATTTACTGTGGGCCCATGCATGTATGTATGTATGTATGTTTCAAGCGTTTATAATCGGTGGACCAAACCAAACTAATACACATACATACATACATAAGCGCACTGTTTTTAGCGCAAGTCTGATTTATTTGACATTTATTGTTAAGTAGAGCAAAAAGTCTTTGAATTGTTGATATTTTTTTAAGTTTAAATTTTTATTTCATACTCAGTAGGAACTTTGCTTATAATAAAAATGTACAATTGTTATTGCTTTTTATGATAAAATTTGAATTTGCCATAAAATTGCACTTTAGTTGTCAAGATGATGCTTTGAAGCAAAGGAAGCTGTTGCGATTTGTATAAAAGTTGCAGTTTCAGAAGCAGTGAATCAGTACAAAGTAGACCTTTGCGAGTTCAATTTGTTTCAAACTTTCCATCTGGTAATAATACAAAATGCGTGCCTTCATTGTGTTGTGTTTGGTTGCCGTCGCCTGCGCTGATAAGCTCGGCTACAACTATCGTCCTGTAGAACATTCGGACAGCGGTCTCTCATTTGCGCCAGGTGGTGGCAGTGGAGGATTAGGTGGTGCTGGAGTTGGTGTTGGACTAGCCGAATATGGACCAGCTCAATCCGGACCAGCGCAATCCGGACCATCATACAACGCACCAGCTGCTGAATATGAAAAAGAGTTCTTTACATACACTGCTGATGAAGCTGAATTCAATGAGCCCGCCGGTAATGATGTAGGACCTGAATCGCTGAAGAAGAATCTGCGTGTTATCTTCATTAAGGGACCTGAAGGTAATGGCTTGGAAAACGCTGCCGTTAATCTTGCCAAACTCGCTGCAGAGGAGCGCACTGCCATCTATGTGCTACAGAAACAAGCTGATTTGGGCGGTTTGGCGAATAAATTGCAAGCCCAGCACGATGTTAACCGCAACAAACCCGAAGTGCACTTCGTCAAATACCGTACCCCAGAAGATGCTGTCAACGCTCAACGTGCTATCCAATCGCAATACGATCAATTGGGTGGCAAGTCTCAATCGCATGACGGCGGCGCTGCTCCAGTTCACAACTTCGCTTCGCCTGCTGCTCAGCCAGCGCCACGACCTGTCAGTGCTCCAGGTGCTGCTTATTTGCCATCCTCGATTCTTCGCTTCTAAGCTGAGCGGAGTTTTTACAACCACTTGGATTCTGAAGATTTTACAGACTGAAGCAATTTTGTTATCGTTGTTGATTAGTGTTAATAAAGAATTCTTTTAAAATTTTATCAAGAAATTTTGTTGGTTTGTAATTTAGTCTTCTTAAGCTGTTCGATTTACAGTTTGGTAAGTTCGAATAACTCGAATGCTCGTATTCGTGGTTTATGGTTCTTTTTTTTGGAATTGAGATTCTAAGGTATCTTTTTTCTTTTCCGGTAGTTATGGACAGCTTTCATTAGAACACAATGGAGAGCACTTTCTTTCCGGGAAGGGGATCACTTATTGAATGAAAAGCGAAAATCGGTATGATTTGAACTAAGTAGAGATTGTGAGTAGCTTTCTTCGTTGCACCATATTAGCACGTGTGCTATCAACTATGGCTCAGGGAGAGATTAGATGCAAATTATTCTTAATTCTTAACATTATTGTACGAAAGCGAAGGTCGAATAGTGGTTTGAACAATTTTTATAATGACTAATCTCTGACCCTGCATGCATATACATATGTATGTAAGTACACACTCGAAAAAATATAGGTGGATCTATAGTACAATAAGCTGAAATACTATATTTTGCCATAGTTTTTTTTTTTTTACACATCAAAGAGATTTATTTATTGAACCTGCCCTGTTTAAGCCTAACAATAAATTTTAGAATCTTAATAACTAATAAATTACTACTTTATTCCATTAATAGCAATGGACGTCAGGTAAAACGTTGCTCTTCAAAATACTGACAGATCCCTTCTCCGAAGGCGAGTTCCCCGTGCTGGACAGGATAAACGTTTCGGATCATTTTGCAGTTTCCGCAGGTATTTTTCCAGGAGTTT